TGAGTTTCAGGACGGATTTAGGTGGTGTGAGTTTCAGGACGGATTTAGGGTGTAGGGGGTTAGAGTTTCGGACTCAGTCTAGATGCATTCAGGCCGACTGGTGGGTGTTGCTGTGCAATATACGTGTATCCCAGCACTGATGTCGGATTTGACGATCCCAGAGACTCCAATATCCCTTAATTAAGGAATATAGCTTAACTTAAATTATAACAGGAACCCTAACAAGATTTAAGGTATATTCCCGAATTAAGGAATATATAACTTAAATCAGAACAGGAACCCTAGTAAGATTTAAGGTATACTCCTTAAGTAAGGGATATTGGAGTCTCGGAGATGCAGAGTGTGCCCTGTCGACTAGATCTCTGCGAAGCTGAATAGCCATTCTTTGCCTTAAGGACAAAATGACCCTTAAAAGTAGGGGCCCTATACAATTCTGCTATGAATCCCTATATGGTATATGAGGCCTAAACCCTTTTAGGGTTCTTTTCGTCCTTAAGGTTGAGAAGCACTCATGGAAACCGTGAAGATGTGTGTTTTGCCGGTTTTTGGAGCTATGCGTTTGCGACTACTCCCACCGGACTCCCACCGGCAATCTTCCGTCTAAGGAATGACTACAATGTGCTCGGGGCTTGTGTATCTTCGGTGCCATGTTCTCATATAAAAATACCTCACTTGGCGAGTCTAACTGGAGCTGGAACCACAAATACCACAAAACCAAAATCGACAGTAAACCCCTAAACCCTAAACAGTCAAGCCTTATCCCTTGCAGACTGCATGTGATTCTGAGGAACATGCATGGAGGAGGCGGATAATTTCCCGGAGCTGGTGACCAAGGCCCAAGAAGTGGATTCAATGTTTGCTCTCTCTACCCCAAGTCCAAAACCCTAAACCCTACATCCGAAACCAGCCGTCGAATTTGGCACGATTAGGGTTTTGGGCTTTGGGGTTTAGGGTGCACCAAAGGGTGTTAGTTGGCACAGTCCTCAAACATAGCGACTAAGTTTTAGTGGCGAGCATGTCTCATCCAAACCCAGGAAGACATTCCTCGTTGATGCCCGATCCCGAGCAAAAGACGCCCTGGAAAGTGTCTGCCTTCACAAGGGTTCCTATATATTGATGTTTGGACCGATGCCAACCCTAAACCCTAAACCATCAACCCTAAACCGTACATGTACCCCTGACAGCTTTGGGTCAGTGACCCCTGCCAGAGGATTGTTTTCCAAGTTTGGGCGGTCCAACAGGTGCAATTCAATATGAAGGCGTAAACCATTTCCAACAGTATTCATTGGGGTTCCTCAATCAAACTATACCCATAGGCTCCGTTACAGTTCCTTTTTGTGGCTTATATTTAGGATCCTATATTATAAGGTAAATAAATCCCACAAGGGAACTACAATAGAGCCTATAGGTACTAACTATACTATACTGGAACCCAAGACCCCATTAAGGCCCCTACATCGCACAGTGACAGGGAGGCTTCTTGAGCAAACGGTCAGCAGACTGCGAGACTCCGAGCCGACTGCGAGACTCCAACAGCGTTCCAAGCCCCGGATCAAATAGACTATACGGTCTAACACTGAGGACTTGAAGGGTTAGGATTATTAGGGTTTAAAATTTCAGGGTTCGGGGTTGAGGATGTTATATTGGATCAATATAAACCCTAAAGCCTAGACCCTAAACTCTAAATTCTAAAAGAAGCTTGGGGGAATTGGGAGTTTATGGCTGCGAAGACTTGAGAAGCACAAGTGCTACGAGTAGAGGGGCCTCAGTAATTAGTTCGAAATCGCTTTTGGGGTAATGCACCCCGGTGCGGCTTGCGATCCTTCGCATCACATCAGCCCCCAACCGCCTCTAACATGTCCCGAACACTTGCAGCGCGATCCGACAAGCCCAAATTCTGTTCGTCCTGGAACCCTGCAAATCATGCGAGTCACCTGTAGTTTCCGTTAATCAGGGAGAGGCTGCTAGATTCGAGCGCAGGTCATGAGACTCGCTCCCGGGCAGACTCAGAACGTGCGGCCGATCTCTGGCAACATCTACAGGTATTGGGCAACTCGACTCATGGAAGTTTTGCTGTAGGAGCTGTTTTAGGGCGGGATTGCGTTCCATCCCAGATCACTGAACCTAAAATTCTTAAAACAGACTGTTGCGTGCAAGGCTTTCATGGATTTAGACCCTAACCCTATAAACCCTAAAGCCCCAAACCCTAAATACCTAAACCCTAAAAAATCTTGGTCTGGGCTCGGGGTTGTGGGTACTGTTGCTCGGGAGATTCTGGCGGCCATACCTGCGTGTGCAAAGTTAGACCCTACTGCTTCGAGGACGAGCTCATGAAGCTTTACCTACCAGGACCCTCCAAGTACCCTCAAATAGGGGTAAAGGGTCCCAAACTAAGGGTATTTAGGGTCCGATAGAGGGTAGATGGAGGGTCTAGGTATAGGCTCCGCTGGTGTTCCTTGTTTGCTAAGCCTTTTTATGGCTACGTAGGATCTTTCGATATGAGAACTACCATGGAGACCATAGGTATGGTGTTCTTCAACTGCAGGTTTTACCTGTCTGTTGGCAGAATTCCCTAAGGGACCGTGTACTCATCTAGTATAATACTTAATGTAGTTCCTAGTTAGGTACTTTAAGGTCTAAGTATATACTACCGGGGTACATGAACACTTGGGGTTGTGTAACCATAAGAAAGCCATTGAGCAGGGTGTTCTGCAAACGTTCTCAATCTTGGGGGAGGTCTCAGAGCCCGTATGTCCCTAGCAGCCCAGCTGCCTTTGTTTATGGGTTACTGCTCCTACTATGTGCAAACTATAGCACGCGCAACCCAGCAATCCGTTCTATGGCAATGCATGCATCTCGGCTCCTGGGGTACCTTAGACTACCATAGCCTACTCTCTTGCGGGTCCTTCTCATGATGCGGGTTTTATACGAGCCCTACACCAAAGTAATTAGGTTTCTGGGAGGGTGTGGACCCTTAAGCCCAAAACTATCTCTAAAACCCCAGAACCCAAAAGCCCAGAACCCCATTAACAAAAAAAACAAACTCTAAACCCTAAGCCCTACACCCCCCTGAACCCCCAAAACCCTAAACCCAAAGCCCCACACCGTATGCTCCCTTGCGATTGCCCGCCAGCATCCGAGGCCCTGGGAGGAAGGAAGAAGAGCTGGCTGATCTACTTCGGATTCAGGCTCGTTTTTAGAGGTCTGCTTTTGGGGTTCTTGTTAAGGATTCAGGCTCCTCTTTACGGCTCCTTTGTTTTAGGGTTCCTTTCGGATTCTGGCTCGTCTTTTGGGTTCCTACTAAGGTTCCTTTGAGGCTTCAAGCTCCCAGAGTTGTTTAGGGCTTGAGGTAAGGGGTTTAGGGTATAGGGTTTGGGGTTTGAGGCTTAGGGTTTACCGCTCTAAGCCACGTATCTTGATGTGTCTCACCCTACTATCTTCAAGCCTCGTCTAGGGTCTATGGTTATGGATCCTGAAAATCTGCAATCTATGGGGGCGCGGAGGTGCGAGGGTGTTGACTCATGATAAAGCTTCTTCAATATATGCGCATTTGCGCCTGGCTGGCTGAGTCGCATACAGTCTACATTTTCCATATTATGCAGGGTATAAAAGCCGTTTGCAGGGTGCTTGTTGTTCAGTCGAAGCAAGCAGCTTTGTGAGTTAAGCACCTCCTCAAAGACAGGTAGGTCAGGTAGGCCCCCACGGGATTCCGACATGTTTTGAGATTTTTGTGTGCACGATCGACTGGGGTCTCGACAACCTTGAAAGGAGCGCTAGGCTTCGTCGGAGGTGGAAGCAGGTGTTTCGAATCCACGACACGCGTCTCCGAACCTTGGGCCCTTTATAATCGTGCGAGTAGCATAGAAAAGCGTTACAGTTGAAAAAACGCAGCTGGTACAGAATACTACAATTTAGGGCTCCTCCTTATAGGAACACGCAATAACATCACCCCGAAAAAAGCCATCAACATTAGCAATAAAACCTAGAGCTGGCCGGCTCGGGGGTTCTCGTAGAGTACCTAGACCCTTAAATGTAGTACCTTGTTTTGGTTACCTTAGTTGCTTTTTCTAGTATCCTAGCCATAAAATAGGTCGTCCAAAAAACGGTACTACATTTAAGGGTCTAGGTAGAGCAGGTTCGTGCTTCTGATTCAACTCCTCGTCCCGATGGCCATCTGCCGCTGGTCGTACTACCAGTATGACGCCTGGCTGCGCTTAGGGTTTAAGGGTTTGGGGTTTTGGGGTTTAGGGTTTTACCCTTACCTTTTAGAGTTTAGGATTTTAGGGCTTAGGGTTCACGGTTTAGGGTGTAAGGGTTTAGGGCTTAGGGTGTAGGGGTTTAGGTAGGGTTTAGGGTGAGCAACTCGTCCGGGTGGCATGATTCTGACTCGAGCAGAGTATTACAAGGGAAATTGTGTGGAGGAACATCATGAGAGCTGCATGAGCACCATCTCACATGGATCTTCTCATATTGCCCAGAAGCTTCTGCCAGCATCACCTTCTCGGAATTGCAGCGTCGCAGAAGGCCAAACGAGCCAAAGGCTGTGCAGAAGACGGCGGTATCGGATCTCTCACACTCTGAGGCCCCCAAACCTCCATGAATCCCGAGGCCCCGTAAAGCCAAGCCAAGTTTCTTGCTTGCTCTGGTCGAGGACTGGCCGCACACCGAGATTCGCCTCGTCAGGAGCTTGGAATCTTTCGCTTTCCGGAACCCCCTCTTCTTTTCGCGATCCAGGAGCCTGAACCTGGAGTTCGAGAAGCTTTAAAGCTGACTTCGTTTCCGTCAACAGCGGGAGCGTCACTTGTAACCCTAACTCGAACCTCAACCCCACAATATCCCTAAACCCTCCACCCTAAACCCTAAACCCTATACCCCTAAACCCTAAAATCCCTTTTCTTGCCAAGGTCCAATATAAGTTCGGCGACTTGGAATTCGGCGTCTCGCACGTGTTGGGCCGGCTGCTATCCTTCCTCTTCACCTACTGCATCTCCCTGCACGCCATGTCCATCACGAGGAAGGCAGGGTGTCCGTGTATAAGGTTGTAAGGGCTCGATGGGGTGTTTGGGGTTAGAAGTATCAGGTTACAAGGTAAAGGGGGTTCTATAGGGCTTTTGAGGCTACAAGGTTACCATAAGTTTTAAGGGCTTAATCGAGTGATGAGTGCCGACTTTGGCCTGAAGACCTCTAGCTCGGTGCCTCTATGCTTGCCCTAAGGGGGCCCATGTACCCAAATAGTATAAATTTTAGCCCCAAAGTTCCTATAGAGGGACTACCTTACCCATAGGCTCCATTGTAGTTCCGTTTTGGGATTACCTTACAGGATCCTAAATATAAACCCCCAAAAAGGAACTACTATAAAGCCTATGGGTACGGCCTATATATATATATATATGTATACACACACTGTTTGGGTACATAGACCCTTCGGCTTGCAGCCCAAACACCGAAGTTGGTCTGAGTTACCATGATAAGAAAACCATGTTATCTACGCGAAATCCCAACAGTTCTGTCAGCTTACATTTTTTAAGTTCCGTCACAAGAACCCTACACCCTAAACCCTAGACCCTACTGTGGCAGGTTTTTTTCATTACAGGGCACTTGCTCTTGTCCCGGGTTCTCTGCCACTCCACGGCCCAGGCATGCAAAGGCAACCAGTCTTTGCGACTCGAAGCGGTTTAGGGTTTAGGGTATTTGTCGGGTTTGTCCTTTGACATCTCCGTCATCTGGAGGCTTCAACCACGTGGGCTCACAGTGTGGTCCAGGTGTCCAGTAGGGTTGTAGGCTATGCTTCCTTTACAGAGCCCTGCAAACTTAACGAAGGTTCTTGCTCATTAGCAACCTGCCGGAAGAGTCCATTCAAATCCCACCGTGGACATACGTGCCCCTTGACTCATTGACGGCCTTTGTCGGACTCTTGGTTCATACACACAGGTTGGCTTTGGGTGGAGAAGAGATATGCTTCAAGTTCAGTGCTAACTTGGGCGTGCCCATGGGGCGGTGCCAACTACGAGATCCGGAGCGCAAGACCACGCCGCAATCATGTCGGAATTCCAGGTTGGGGCCATGGCCACAAGTGTAGTGTAGGTCTTACGAAGCCGACAGCAACTAAGGTACCTGTTCTTGGACGGTTTCATGACCTGCTACTTGACGATGGTCTCTTTGATTGCCATGGCTCCGCGTCAGCAAAGGGCACAGAGCTGCTCAGTTCCCCGAAGAACTCAGCAGCCAACTGCGTACCTGGGTTTAGGTTTGGGGCTGCTTTTTCCCTTTTCCGACCCTGAAACTTCCTGCATGAACTAGAGCCCGAAAGTCTCCCTACAGAAGCGATCCTCCCAAGCGAATCTGAATGAGGACCCCTAAGCCCTAAACCCTAAACCCTATAAGCCCCAAACCCGAAACCCTAAGCCCTAAACCCTACACCCTAAACCTCTCAAAGCCGGATGCGCATGCCCAACTTCTGCAGTGCTCCTTCGAGGCTACTGCAGAGGCCCAGTGACCAGAGCCCGGACCGAAAGAGCCCCAGCCAGTGCTGTGTAGGAGTTTCAACACCTCTAGGCTCCATTCTAGTTCCTTTTTTGGGGGTTAGGGTTTAGGGTTTAGGGTTTAGGATTAAGGATCTTGTAAGGTAGCATCCAAAAAGGAACTACTATGGAGCCTATGGGCATTCATGCTCAGGAGTAGAGGCCGCACCCTGGAGCGTTGCCCTCTTGGTTTGTCCTAAACCCTAAACCTTTGGCTTCATGGCTGCCTAAAGCCTAAAGCCTTTCGGCGCTGCAGCTCGCCTCACCCTAGGACATCTTCTTACCTATTGTAGTAAGCTACGCAGAAACGCCCCAAACCTGCTATCCTGGGTTCTTGTTAAGGGATTTAACTTAAGTTACCACAAAAGAATGAAACCGTATTGTTTACGACGGATCCCTATTATCGTAACTTCAACTAAATCCCTTAGCACAAACCCAGTCTCTCCTCAGATGGAGCCCTTTGGCGCCCTAAAACCCCTGGCCCTGCAAACCCTGAACCCTAAGGGATTTTTTTAGGTTACCATAATGGGGATCTATAGTAAATAATATGGTTTCTTGATTATGGTAACTGAAATAAAATCCCCTAACAAGAGCCCAGTTTCCGACCAGCCTACTACGCCCCAAACCCTGACCCTCAAAACCCCACAATGCCTTGGAAGCCCGAAATCCCTAAACCCTGAACCCTAAACCCTGAACCCTGAACCCTAAACCCTGAAGCCTAAGCCCTGGAAGCGTAAAGCAGCAGGTGTTCATCTTCAGCTTCGCCGGCAGTCCCAAGGACATTTGCTTCGATGCTTCTAGGATCTCGTTAAGGAAGTTAGCGCAAGTTACCACAAAAGCTCACCATGTTCGGTTTAGGGTTTTGGGTTTCTTTAGATCCCTGTTGTGGTAACTTTACGTGTTCTTAGTTTCAGGATTTAGGGTTCAGGGTTGCCGTAGCAAAGCAGCCATTTTAGTCCGCTGTAGATCCCTAGTATGGTACCTCATCTTCAGGGTTCAGGGTTTAGGGTTTAGGGGTTTAGGGGTTTAGGGTTTAGGGCAAGGTAACCATGTTATTTTCTAGAGATCCCTATTTTGGTACCTTACATTTCGGGTTGAGGTTTGAGGGACATGGTTGCAATATCATATTTGTTATAGACCCCTATTTTGGTAACTTAACAGTTCTTAGTTTACTGTTTGGGATTTTGGGCACCGTAACAAGAATTGTTTGCTTGCTTTAGATTCCCACTATGGTATCTTACATGTAGGGTTTCGGGTTCCCGCAACAAGGTAACCATATTATTTACTATAGATCCGGACTGTTGTGGTAACTTACATTTAGGGTTTAGGCTGTAGGGACAAGGTAGCTATGTTAGTTATCATAGACTTATTAGACCCCGATTATGGTATTGCATGTTCTTAGTTTTAAGGGCTTAGGTTACTGTGACGGGGTAAGTTCTGGCAAGTTATAATCCTTAGCCCAAATGGTCCTATGTACCTTTATATCGTAGAATGCAGGGTCTCTGTATTAGGAACTACTATTCTGATTTCAGGAAGATTCCCCACAACAGTACATACTGTTGATGATATAAATCCTTGCATTACCTTATAAGGACCCTAAACTATGGCAATCATGGTATATTCCTTATTATGGGATTTATATCATCAGCCTTGAAACCCTAAACCCTAAAGCCTAAACCTACACCCTAAACCCTAATCCCTAAACCCTAAACCCCATTATATCTTTAGGGGCCTGTCATCAGCCGTAGGACCCTTTGAGTAACAAGAACCCAGGCTCTGGGCCTACTCTTCATTCTCCGACTGCACGAGGCTCGCTGTTCAGGGCCGGACCTTGGGATGTAAAGTTTGAGGTCCAGGAATCCATGGGCTTAGTAGTCTGGTGTATAAGGTCGAAGAATCATTGGCTTATAGACTGGTGTATTGATGTCATCGTGTTTCAGCTCGTTTTGAGTGCGCTCTTGCTTGTCCCACGACTTTTGTTCTGCAACGTGTTGAGGCCTTCACTAGTCAACAGCAGCAGGATTGCCGCCCAAACAACATGGCCAACATGTCATCTGTATGTCAGGACCTGTGATCAAAAGGTATAACAGTCTCGATGTTTGCTAAAGGCTTGTGCCATTGTCTTTTCAAAGTCAACCCTTCTTCGGATCCCCATAATAGTACGGCACCTTCATAAACAAAGGAACCTGAAAGAACCCTTAATTTTGAGAACTTCATTAAAAAAAGGAACCTAAAAGGACCCTTAATTTTGAGAACTTCAAAAAAAAGGAACCCTAAAGGGGACCCTTAATTTTGAGAACTTCATTTAAAAAAGGAACCTAAAGGGGACCCTTAGTTTTGAATAAAAAAGGAGCCGAAAGGGGCCGCTTAATTTTGAGAACTTCATTTAAAAAAAAGGAACCCTTAAGGGGACCCTTAAGTTTAGCGAAGGAGCCTGAAGGAGACCCTTACTTTTGCGAAACTACCCACATGGCCAGGTGGAAGGCGATCTGGATTTCATCTCCACGCAGGCAGAGCTCGAAGTGCGAACATTTGCATTCCCTAAAGGGTCCATGTACCCATATAGCTCATGTATCCGTATACTATATAACTTAACCTCAGTGTAGTCCCTATTTAGGTACTTTAGGGCCAAAGTATATACTATAGTATATACTTTGGCCCTAAAGGACCTAAATAGGGACTGCCTTGAGGTCAAAGTATATACGTTTACAGATACATGGACCCTTAGGGATTTGCGGTGGCGCAACAGGGTCTAGGGTAGGGTTTCGGGAGACAGCATCGCCAGTCTAATATAGGGGTCGGAGTACTTATCTATGTAATCCCTTATAGACCCTATAGTATCACTTTATTATGCCCCGAAACCCAATTCTAGTTACGAACGCTCCTATATCACCCATAGCTGCCTCATCCCTCAATGTCGTTTTTTTTCACGCCCTGGACTTGTTCTGGTCTGGGCACGGATCCGAGAATCCGTTTCAAGCTCACACCTTTGCACAACCCTCTGTCCACCCACAGTAGTTCCTTTTTAAGATTACCTTATAGGATTCTAAATATAAACCACAAAAAGCAACTACTTAGGGGCCTATGGGCATGTCCATGCCACTCCTGGCAGGATTTCGACTCTGACCGGATTGCAGAGCTTTGCCACTACGTTCTCTCCTGCAAGGAGCTGAGGCGCAAGTGAAGGGCAAGCCTTGCCTTGACAGCATCTAGGTGCCCATCTCCATGCTCAAAGGAACTTGCAATAGTAGAGCCACACAGCTACACCATACCTTTGCTTGAGCCAGCTTCCAGCCCAAAAACATGTCCTGGCACCAGGAAGGAGCGGCAGGTGAAGTACCACATCCCCTGGCGCTGGACGCTGTTGTGGGATGCGCCACTCTGCCTACGGGGTTGTGTCACCCTTTCATTAGACACCTTGATTTCCGTAGAAGCCCTTTGGACCCTAAACCCCTAAACCCTAAACCCCTAAACCCTATACCCTAAACCACTAAACCCTAAACCCCCAAACCCTAAACCCCTATATAAACCCTAAACCCTGAACCCCAAACCCCTTGGACCATAGAACATGAGAGCCTGGAAGTGAATGTGCTTCTGAGGACCATGCTGCTGATTTACTGGATCCTTATGCTCGTCCCGGCTGCTCGCATGAATATAGACACGGTTTAGGGTTTAGGGTTTTTAAGGGTTTTTAGGGTTTAGGGTTTAGGGTTCGGAAAGTCCGCGCAGTTTGTAATCGTATCCCCTTACACTATACCGTACTAGACCGCCAAGCCTTATTCTGAAACACTAAACCCATAGGCTCTCAATGTTAAGACCCAAGTATTGAACCCCAGAGACGCGAGGCCCTAAACCCTGTAGGCGGGCAGCTCGAACAGGGAACGTGAATGCAATTAAAAAAAGGCCTTTTTTTGAGCCCCAAACCTTGAACCCTAAACCACCTTAAACCCTAAACCTTAAACCTTATAAGCCCTATAAAACCCCCTAAACCACCTTAAACCCTAAACCCCTAAACCCCTACACCCTAAACCCCCAACCTTTAGAACCTAGTGGTCGAGGTGTTCCAGCTCTTCGTCGTGGACGGCCTCGTGGAAAGATCCAGCGGCCTCTCTGTGGGCATCCTCGGAACGCACATCGCCGAGGAGGAGGTGGGGCCAAATAGTGTAGTTCCAGGGTTTAGGGTTTAGGGTGTAGGGCTTATAGGGTTTAGAGTTTAGGGTTTAGGGTTTGGTGTTTAGGGTTTAGGGTTTTACTCTTTTTTTTTGGGGGGCGGGGGGGGAGGGGCTTATATTTAGGATCATAACTTTATAGGGTTTAGGGTTTCGGGTTTAGGGTTTAGGGTATAGGAGGAGGTGGGGCCAAATGTTTGAGTCCATATAACCCTAAACCATAAACCCGACACCCTAAACCTTAAGCCCTAAGCCGTGAACCCCAAACCCTAAGCCATGAACCGTAAGCCCTAAACCCTCCTTACGGAGCTCTGCAGTCGACTAGGCGAAGCATTGGGACTTTCAGAGTCTTAAGGCTTCGAGTTCTTAGGGCTATGCAGGTCTAGGGGTTTAGGGGTTTAGGATTTATAGGGGTTTAGAGGTTTAGGGTTTAGGGGATTAGGGGTTTTGGTTTAAGGGCTTTGGGTTTAGGCGGTTTAGGGTTTAGGGTTGAGGGCTCAGGGGGTGTATGGGCTTCTTAGGGTCTCAGGGTTTGGCGGTTTAAAGTTCAGGGACTGTAGCACAGCAACCAAGCGTACAGCGCGAGAAGCTGCGCGTTTAAAGTTGGGATTCCGGAGGAGCTGTAATCCGACCGGTTTCCCTAAACCCCAAGGTGAAGGTGTGGGGATTTTTGGGATGGATTAATGGGCTACAAACTGTAACATACCCCATGACTATCGGCAGCTTCAGGGCATTTCAAGGCCATCGTCTTTGACGACCAAGTAGCTGTTTTGGAAAAAACTTTCACTTAACTGCGTCAAAATTCCTTCGCGACTTACCCGGACTCCAGAGTCTGCCTGGACCCTCCAAGAGGGTATGTAGGGTCTAGTAGAGGGTAGATGGAGGGTCTAGGTCTGTTGTTGGCAGTTTTATTTTGAGTCTATGTCCTATGTTATGTTCAGGATGCTACAGGAAGCGCCCTTGACATCAGGTTATTTGCCGCCTAATGACAGGGTATCCGGATCCACGCCGATGCTCAAAATGCGGCAGCTCTTAGGTGACAACCCTTCAAGGGTGCACATAGCCCGAAGCCGCCCCTATATTCAAGCCCTAAAGCTCCCGCGCATGTGTGTGCATGTGTGTGTGTGTCTGCGCGCTTTGAAGGACCCTAAACCCCTAAACCCTGAGCCCTCTAAAGCCTGGGCCTGCTGTCTTCCCAGTCCAACATTAAACAAAGACCTAGAATTTCTGAAGCTGGCATACTTTGTCTGCCGGACTACTTCTCCGCAACCGGTTGGTCGGACTGCTTGCTACGCTGGAATACATTTTGTCGCCGGTGGGCGGCCTTTGTTTCGAACAAGTGCACACGTACCTTGGCAACACTTGTCACTTGTGGCATACTTTTCTGGGCAGGTGGAACCTGGTGAAAAACATGGTGAACACAAAACCATACAGAATGGCGTACCCGCACCAATCGCGCAAAAACCTTAAATGATGGTGACAAAAAAGCCACATGAGAGTTCACCTTGTACGCAAGCCCAGCCCGCAACCCGACCCGGACCGAAAGACTTGTTGAGCCCGGCTTTTCTTGCGGAGGCTGACCCTAAACCGTATAAGCCCTAAACCAAAACCGGGACAGGTTTTCCAAGCATGATGCGCGGAATACATGTTTTGCGACGCAGGAGATTCTGTTCCAAATCGGGCGAATAACAAAAGTATGCTGACGTTCTTCCTGTTAACCCCCATAAACCCTAAACCCTATACTCCGAAACAGGTGAACCTCTGAACCTCTAAACTCCAAGCCTTGTAAGCCCTAAACCGCTTCTTCAAGCCACTTTGAGCCACGGAGGCGCGGATCGCCCACTTGGAGCATCACAGTCCGTGAGGGTCCAGAGACTCGAAAACACCTTAATCTAAGGAATACCTTAACCCCAACTAACCTACCTTTTTAGGGTTCCTTATTATGGTTTCTTTATATCAGTCCTAAAAAAGGGTGATTTTTAGAGGGGTCCAGGTAGACCTTGAATTAGAGTGAGGGACCACCTTATGATTGCCTTGAACCCACGAGCTTCTATTAGACCCTGAATACCCTTAATGTGGGCCCTTTACCCCTATTTGAGGGTACTTGGAGGGTCCTGGTAGAGGGTGATTCAGAAATATGACTTGAGGGTCCTTTACTCTGCAGTTAGGCGGTGGTCAATATTAGGTGGCCTTTGGGGCATCCTAAATATTAGGTGCCGTATTATCTTAAGAGCCCCAAAAAGGGCCCCACTTACTTTTGACTCCCTTTTGAGGTACCCTAAATATTAGGTGCCGTGTTATCTTAAGACCCACAAAGGGGGCCCAATGTTGACAACCACCCACTTCAAAGGTGAAATGCAGTCTCCGCGGGTTTTTTCCACCAGCCCTGCTGCCTGAATGGCAACGCTTCCGGGGCCATGGACCCAATAGGCTCCATTATAGTTCCATTTTGTGGTTTATACTTAGGATCCTATAAGGTAATCCCAAAAAGAAACTACAATATAGCCTATGATTTGTAGAAAGAAGCATTTCCCTTTAGGCCCATTTTATGGGTTTGGGGTTTTAGGGTTTAGGGTGTAAAAGCCCGGAAAATGAGGCACAATCACTTTCTTGCAGCATATCATCGAAACCCTCATCCATGACTTCAGGTAAAATCCTAAACCCTAGAACCCTA